ATATTAATATAAAGATTTAGGTATGAGAATATTATTTTGTTAAAAATGTTATTTCTCCACTATTTCAATGATATTTTTTTCAGTACAACAAGGTGGGTAGAACATTTCAATTGAAAAGGAAATAAAGTGAATACTAAATTATTTCTATCTTGACCTCATGAAATCGTCTTTTCAAAAAAGTAGATTTAAAGAACTACTGTATTATTCAATTAAATCATCAACCTACCTATATTTTTCAAATATAATTAAATAATCCCCATATCATGGAGTAATTTAATATTTAAAAAGAATAATAGGATGATTAAGATGGAGTATATTTCCAATTAATTTACTAGTTTTTTTCATGTCAATCTCAAATGATTTTCTATCAAACCACTAATAATCATTTCTCTTGAAAAAGATGGTAAGCACAATTTGTGTATTTATATTGGAATAATGAGTGCTTCTTAACCCTAATTTTGAACATCTTGAGATCCACAATTATACCAAAAATTTTTTTTTTAAGATATCTCTCTCCAACAAGAAAATAAATAAAATTTTTAATAAAAAATTAGCACAACATGACTCTTTTATATCGTTGAATATACGGGAAATAAATTTAGTTAGGAAAATGACAATAATATATTATTTTGAAACTAGTATCTACATACCACTTTTGAGTGGCTGTAGATTTGAATCTTCTTATATTTTGTGATGTAATATATATTAAAAAACAAAATTTTGAAAAGAAGGAGCTTTTAACGGGAGCATGTCATAAATTTCTTTTCTTTTCTTAGTGGTAATGAGTGAAACAAAAGAAAATCATAGGGAAGGAAGACTAGCTTTTATCTACTTTTTTTCTTTTTAACTAAATTGGACCAAATCGAATTACATAGTTGTCTAAATCAAGTGATGCTATTGTATTATATTAATGTAATTTTTTTTTAAGAAAGAAAGAGAATAAAAGAAGATATGAAGAAGAAGAAAAAGTAGCATGGAAACATGATGGATTTTTGTGTTTTCTTTTGCATTTTTTTTTTTTTTGTTCGGTGACAAGGACATGTGAATACCTTGATAATGCTCATACATACCATAGTAAAGAAAAAAGGAATATAAATTCTCCCAAAAAACAAAAAAAAAATCAGAGAGAGATAAAGTTGCTTTTTTTCCCCTTCAATCTATAGATTCTCCCCTTGATGATGATCTATTGGGATAAATTTATTTAAAAAAAAAAAAAAGACTGATTTAACTCATTTATTTTAGCTAAATCAATAATGGGTGAAAATTTGAATTCTTAACCAACCAATTGAATTGTGTTGCAAAATTTATTTACCTTTAATATGCTATATATATTCAATAAAAACACACTTATTTTTATCGATGTACATATATTGTTTTAAAAATATACATTAAAAAGATAACAAAAACCTTTCATTTCCCCCTCTCTTTTGTTCTTGGTATTTTCTTTTTCCTTCTCTCCCAACTGTCATAATGTATGTAAGAGAGAGGCTATGACCAGAAAAGAAAAGAAAAAAAAAACAGACATTCTTTTGGAAGAAAGTCAGAAAAAGATAAATAAATAACAATATATATATGTATGTATATCAATATTTATATATATATTTCCATGATTGAGAATAGTGTAATTATTCACATCACATGAGTTTACAATAGTTATCATCATGAGAATCACATTGAAGCAATTATGAAGTTGCTTCTTTTTACATCCCCTTTTGCATATTTATATAAAAATGTACATTGTAAGTGGAGAAACAAGTACACAAGACAACCTAAACAAATAACACACAAAACTTTTTTCTCAAAATAATAATAATAATAATAATAATAATAATAATAATAATAATAATAAACGAAAGACAATGTCTTTAACTAATTTTTAAACCATCCCGGTCCAACTTCTCCTTTGAAATTCGGATTTGATATACCCTTTTCATGACTAATCGTTAAAATTAGTAATTAATAATCACTCTCATTAGTAAGAAATATAATAAAACCAAAATCACTCTTTTTTTCAGTTTCTTGATTGTTTTGATGTATTTACAATGGGATTTTAGGAGGAGGAATTTAGAAATAATCAAAATGGTGATGAGGGGGGATTTGGTAGGGTTGGTCCCTTTGTTTTTTGGTCAATTTTGGGAAGTAATTAGAAGGGTATTTTGCGTGGTGGAAATCAGAATTGGGGATTTGGGGTGGCCTTACGGATCTGATTAGAGCAAAATTAAGGCCTTTGAAAAATTCGTGTCTCTTGATTTCAACCGACCCCTTTATGCTTCCGATTCTCTTTTTGGGATTCTTCACCAAAAGCTTGGCGATTAGATCCTCAACTTTGGCCATTTCTTCATACTCTTTGCTGCTGCTGAACCCAATTCTCGGAAACGCCAATGGCTGCTTCAGAATGTTGATTAGCGTTTTCTCGTTGTTTTCCCCTTTGAATGGGGTTTTTCCGTACAGCATTTCGTACAGGAAAATCCCCAGAGTCCACCAGTCGACGGCGCTGCCGTGGCCCTGGCCGGAGATCACCTCCGGCGCCAGGTACTCGTGG